AGCTGCTCTGCCCCAGGTGTCCTGATTCAGTCGCTGCTGAAATTATTATAAGCAGCTGACTTGGGGACACCTGGGGTAGAGCAGCTGGAGTGCTGCCGGGTTGGTCCAGTAGCACCACTCCTCGGCGCTGTGGGACCAACCCAGCAGCCCCCCAGCTGCTCTGCCCCAGGCGTCCTGATTCAGCCACTGCTGAAACTGACTAGCAGCGGCTGAATCAGGGATGCCTGGGGCAGAGCTGGGCTATCAGAAGGGGGGGCTATGAGGGGTCTGGGGTGGCATCGCCCCCACCCCACCCTAGACTCCTCATAGCCCCCCCTTCTGATAGTCCGGCATATCTGATAATCCGGCACCCCCTGGGTCCTAAAGGTGCCAGATTATCGGAAGTTTACTGAATATGGTAAAAATATGTTCATGTTGTACACTAAAATTCCATACCAGGAAAAACTGATATTTTTGAGACAGTTTGTATAATTTTCAAGATTTGGCCCACTCAAACAGAGAAGTAACTAGGTAACCTCTCCCTATGGTACTCTACAGACTCTGGGGAAAAACACTCCAAATTTGTTTAGCAAACTATTGCTGTTAATTGCCTATAACCAGAAATTGGCCAAAACTTAACTAATTAAAACTTCTAACTATAAAATGACACTTCTTTACAGATTTGTAGAATTTAAGGACAGAAGGAACCACTGTGATCATCTAGACTGGTCTTCTGCATAATACAAGCCTTCAAGCTACTGAAAAATAATTACTGTTTACTTAATAAACCAAAGGCTTTGCTTCACTTTTATGTTGTTGCTTAATCCAAAATTGTGGATTTCTCTATTATCAGAAACCAAAATTATTAGAAAGAAATATTTTCTCTCTCTTATACAATGACAATCACCAGTTTGGATGACAATGCTAGAAAAAGCAGAAAGACAAAATGCTTCTTGGGGGGCGGAAAAAGGGATAATAATAATCATCAATATATTCTTAAATGAAAAAAATCCCAATTCTTTTACTCTATTTTTTGCCATTACTAAAACAGAGAGGAAAGCCATATTTGTTGAATGAGGTAATATGCTAAGATTGTGATTTATCTCTGTCCTCAAATTGCAGTTTTGAATTCACTGAGGTTCTTCTTCAGATCATTATATATTAGAGTATCTTTAATAAAGCCACTGGGTTTATTAAAGTAAAATTTTAAACCCTTCTTATGACTAGCATGTAGAATTACCTTTCTGTGTGGTATCTGGCTTCATGAACAAAAAGAAACAATAAGTCTATGTCTACACTTCGAGTTTTTTTGGCAGAAAATATGCTAACGAGGGACTCATTAGCATGAGTTGTGACATCATTAGCATATTTTCTGCCGTTTCTTTTTGCATAAGGGTTTTTTGTGCAAAAAGAAGCAGTGTGGACGTTTTCTTTTTGTGCCAAAACCGTGTTTTATGAAAGATCCTTATTCCTGTCCTGGATTTGTGCAAAAAGGAAATGTCCACACTGCTTCTTTTTGCACAAAAAACCCTTATGCAAAAAGAAACGGCAGAAAATATGCTAACGAGGGACTCATTAGCATGAGTTGTGACATCATTAGCATATTTTCTGTCAAAAAAACTCATAGTGTAGACGTAGCCTAAGGCACTTGATTATTGAACCGATTTTGAATATAGTACATTTCCATGAAGGTGGTGGGAAAAGCGATGAAGCTGAACACAAAAGGATTCTTGACTATTCATAGACAATAGGCCAGTTGGTAGTTAGGAGACACCAAAACTTCCCCTGCTACTACCAACATAACAGCTGGAAATATCTAAGACTGAGCAGGGGGAGAAACTGAGCCCAAGCTATGCGGCTGACAAGCTTGTGATAAAAGATAATTAAAACTACTGTTAGATTAAAGAATTGCATGTAACAAGTTTCTTAGCATATTAAGCTTAGCTGACATGTTTTGTTTCACTTTAGCTGAGTAACTTACTTTGATCTGTGTCTGTTATCACTTGCAACCACTTAAATTCTATTTTTATACTTAATATAATGACATTTGTTTATTAACATTTGTTGTTAACCGGGGGAGCGGAGGACTGCAGCAGCAGTGCATATCTCTTTCACTGATAAAGGCGGGAAAATATGAGCTTGCTTTCTGTAAAATTTTTATGCAGAGTAAGATGGATTTATCTGGGGTTTTGATCTTGTTGGAGCTGTGCACCTGAGTGCTGTGTCATGTCCCCATGTCTGAGCCATTCCAGAGCTGAGCTGCTCTCAGTCTCTGTCTCACTCTGTTGGGAGGCTGTTATCCCAATTCTGCCTTTTCTGGGGGAGACTAGAGCTGGTTGAGCTGGACAGTGTGGTGAGGAGCCCCAGATTTTTGGTAGGCAGACTCAGTTGGTGTGATCAACCCATAAGGTGACAATCTGAAAGGGATGTCTGTGCCCAAACTGCTCACACTACTGTTTGTCTCAGTACTATCTTGCCCTTAAGGAGAGGATAATTATGGTGGTTAGATGAATAAAGTTCCTAGCTAGCTGATTCCTCTACCTAAAAACCAGCTAGTAGGAAACAAACCTCATAAATGAGAAAGTATAAAAATATGTTTGGTAAGGAATGAAAAAACGGTTTGTATCTCTGGCTAGTCACGTGTTCATATGCATATTACTACAAACAGACCTCAACCTCTAGTTTCTGTCTGGTCCACTGCACCTAAAATGTTGAACCAAATTTATTATGGCACAGATTGCATAGCAATAAAATCATGCAAAATAATACTTCAATGAGAACTGTTGGTCACTCATCACTTTTGAAAAACCAGGCAAGTGCCCAAATGTGATTTAGGGTCTTAACATTAGGTCTCAATTTTATGAAAATTGTGACCTAAAAGTTTATTTACTACATAAAGACAACAGTTTATTTAAGTTCTTTGTGACAAACTCCTACTGATGGCACTCTCAGCTCTTCTGTAATTAAACAGTGGTTTATGGCCCTATCCTTGCTTGCTGCTCCCATCCAAAAAACGCAATTAAAAATATAATTTGGCTACATCCACAGAATATACCTTTTATTGCAATCACTCTCTTCCAATTTAAATTTCTCACCTCATTGACTACCTTTTCAAACCTCGATGAATTGGACAAACATCCCTTCATGACTCTCCACAGCAAAATGGGAGAGAGAGAGATGTTACCATGAGGGTGTGACTTAATGTTGTGATCTTCTTGGCATGGTAACTAATAGGAAGATTTTGTTGTGATAACTAATCGCCTTAAAACATATACGAAAACAAGAAACAAAGAACACTAACAAGAATTCAGAAACAGAAAAAGAACATTTGAAATGCAACAAGACATTTTCAAATATGTACAATGTAGCAAAAAGTACTAAATACAACTTCAAACACTTTTTTTACATACTACAAAAGCCAGAGATCACTGAAGGAGGAAATTAGAATGTTACCAAATACAAAATGAAGTCACAGAGCATGGCAAAGTACCTAAAATATTAAATTAGAATTTCACAAATGTACAGTTATATTCCAACAGCCACAATCCTGACATCCAGTATAAATTATCAAGTACCTGCATTCAATGGTGATTAAATTTCTTGACCAGGAATTCCTGAGTAATTCCCCTCCCCCCACAATTTTTCCTCCAC